AATCTTTTACCTTTAAATTAGCTCCTTCCAGGACAGCTCCCTCTAGATTGGCGTTAGTAAGATCTGCATTCTGAGATGATCATAAAGGTACAAATTAACGGATCATAAAAGACCATTTTTCAAGACGCGATAGATCAACTGACAGGGATGAGTACAGCTTCACCCCATATCTTATGGCTCCCTTGAGTTATTATCGCTATCATTATCCATGAAATACAGGGAAGGCGTGAGTACAGAAACAACCCAGTGGTCAAATCCTGAAGGAAGTAAAACACGGGGACCAAACAGAAACTGCCTTAAATAAATAAAGAAAACTCCCATTTCATTTCACTGCCAAAAAAGGGAAACATATACAATAATGTATTCTTATGTCTAAGTTCTAATACTAATTTATTTATGATGCATAAAAACCTGCTATGACTATAGAGGACACCCCATCCCTTTTACTGGCACATCACAACGCCTATTGGGTTTTGAGACCAGAACCCATCCATGCTACTCTCAATGTCTCGAAGCTGCAAATTAATTATACAAGTGCAAGTGTCATGTTTGGTGGCAAACCTGTAGATGTGCAGAACGCAGGTCAGCTCCACAGAAGCTACAATCTACTAGACAAGCATCTGCAGAATTGCAAAGTATCACACAAATGAACTTTGTCTCCAAGAACAATGTTTATTAAACTGAAACAATCAAGGCAATATATTGTGTTTCTCATATTGTATCAGTGAGACAAACATCAAAACAAAAAAGGAAGACAGATTATAATACTATGCTGGAGGCCTAAAGTATAGAAAGAAGCCTCATAATTTGGACTTGGGTATGCACTAGATCTGTTTTCTATTTGTTCACATAAACACAAGGAACTATGCATGCAGAAAACCATGTGACTCAAGCAATAATGAATACTTTTATCATCTTTTAATTAAGTTCAGCATTCCAAATGCCATTTATTAAATTATCATGCATGATTCTCACTTTCTATTCTTGTTCACAAAGGAAAACATCCCCCTCTCTGGCTCATTCATCAGTTGAGAAGAAAAGAGACATATTAGTTCAGCCAGCATTTTTGAAAGGGCGTGTATATCCTCAAATGAAATAAAGGAAAAGAAGAATTATCAGATGTAATGTTGGTAATGCAAAAAGGTTGATAATAAGCCACTGAAAACCAAATGCACCAAATATTTTGTCCTTATATGGGTAATTTTAACAGCTGGTTATGAACAGTCCAAACAACGAATTATGTGGCAACAACTCATGTATGATGGAACCATCAGAGTAATGGCGTACAATTAAGGAGTAAAAATTATCAATTGGTTTCTTAAAATTAAAATGAATTAAAGAAGACAAGCAGAAAGATAAGGTGCCTTGTAGATTTGCACTCTGAAGGAAAGCACCAGCTAACAAAGCTCCACGAAGATTTGCCCCGATAAATTCACATCTTCCCTAGGCAAAAGATGAAATAAGTAAGTAAGAGGCCTGCGAGCGTGATGCAACAGTACAAAGGGGGAATAAGTATATTTTTATGAGTGACTTACTCACGCAAAGTTGCATTGTGAAAGATGGAGGACTCGGCATCAACATCCTGTCAAATAAGGTGGGTTTCAGGAATACTTGTAAATTAATTAATTGCAGATGATTCAGTGGATAATACCAACTAACTGTACATCTTTACCAACTTGAACAAGACAAGCATGTGGAATTCATGTTTTAAAAAGTAGGAAATCAAAAGTTCAAATTAGCAAATAAATTTGTTTCCAAATACTACATTTTACATATTTTTGTTCCTTTTGCAACAAAGGGTAGCCAGATGTCCTTGGGTTAGACGATAAAGTTGTTATAGTCATACTGAAACTCTTGGAAACCTGAACTTAAAAACATCCCAGTTTAGATTCAGTCGAAGCTCCAGATCTCAATCCTAGGCCGCCACATAGGCATGTATCCATCTTGATCATCTTTCCAGATTAATGTCCAAGCACTAGGTATTTTTAGAACTATACTTACCCGGAATTTTGCAGATTGAAGGTTTGCACGTGAAAAGAAGACATTTTTAAGACAAGCATAGCTGAAATCCACATTTGATAAATCCTGAAAATTCATAATCAAGACTATCAGGGGATGATGTCAGGAAAAATGCTATTTATCATATTTCATCATGCTGGGGTTCAAGTCAACATGGCTTAAATTATTGTCAGATCTTATGTTAAAATATCCTGGCAGTGGTTATGGACTTATTGCCAAAATTTTATCTCCCCAGATAGCAACTAAAATACAATTGTTTATCATCAACATTTTACACCTATTTCGTGCCTAATGTAATATGCAAAAGTTTCTCCAAAGCAAAAATTTTCTTTTTTAATCAAATTAAGATACTGCTTAGATAACAAAGCTCGAGAAATTACCAGTTTAGATAGGTCAAGGCCAGAGAGATTTACCCCCCGAAACCTGACTCTCTCTGATTGTATACACTTGATGATATCAGTCCGTGTCAACTCTGTATGTAATTCATCATCTTCCTTCCTCTTATTAATGACAGCATTTATTCCATCTATTAGCCCCTGAACATTTGCAACTACTTACAGTTTACAGCATAGGAAAGTGAGGGAAGCCAAAAAGTAAAAACCACATGAAAGAAGTGGGGCAAAAGGACAAAAACAATGGTATATTTTCTAGTTGTGATATGCCTTATAAGTGGAATGGCATTAACATTTTCTCATTAAACTCGATTTAAGAAAACATTGAGAATGCTAGTAGTAACAAAACCCAGCAGAAGTTAATCTAAGAAAGTAGAAGACAACTTTAAAAGCATCTGATAGCAATTTAGAACAATTAAAAGGAGTATAACTTACAAGTAGCTGATAGTATTCTGCCTCCCGCAACAATTCTGTATATTCAGAATCCTTTAGTACAGGCACCGCACCATCTCTCAACCAATTGAGGATGTGCCGAAAGTGTTTTCCATCCCTATCAATAAAGACATATCCCTGTGATAACCCATCGTGAACCAAAAAATTAAACTGAGTTGTCTAATCGAGCAAACGTATATAACTCAACAATTCTATGACCAAACATACCGCATAGCCACCAACAAACATGCGTCTAAATATAGGGTAAAACAGTGATAGGAAGGTCAATCAGTCATCGAGTTCAACAAATGTAGCAGGATTTAATTTTGTAATATATGCAAGAAACATACCAATGCAAAATAAGAGTAACGAGATTACGAGAAGACTCTTACCTTCTCAGGGTCTTGGCACAAAGTATGGCGACCACTGAACATAGCAGCCAGCATTGAATCAGGCTCCCGCTCTGTCAAAGTATTGACTGTGGTGCAATATTTCTTCCCTCCTGACATGTGAAACAAAGAACAAACAAAATTCAGCTCAATTTCTTGCTTGTCAAGGACTTGAGATCCAACATATCACGCTCCAAGTCTCAATAATTATACAAACTGTCAGTGTATATATATATTTTCCGGGGGTAGGGGGAGGTCGGGAAGAGTTCAGCATTGTGTGACTCGAAAGTGCAGGAACAAGCATGATATCGTACTGTAAATGGAAAAGACATCTAAGGGCTACAGATTCACTATAACCAAGAATGGCGCCATCAACTATCCTAAGCCCAAGTATGCTTATTCCCTTTTCAACAATAACAACAGTCCCAGAAAGATACAGAATGCATGATCGGATTTGAGCATTTCCACCAGTTTTCTCAGTAACCAAACAAATTACTTGTGAATTAACATTATTTACTGATACGGTCACCCTTAACGAATCTGATACTGAGATGACGAAGATGAAAGAGAAAAAAAATACCTATATTGAGCCAAACCAGAGAAGGAACGTCAGATTCGGAGTTCTCCATTTTGCCGAATCGGGGAGGGAAAGAAAGCAAGGCCAAGAGAAGGAGGTTGATGACTCCGCTAGGCAACTAACAGGCGCATTTCAGAAGTTTATAGGGAAGAACTATTTACCTCAAATTTCAACAGGTATAAATATAAATAATATTCCCTCCGAATTTTGGTTTCACACACACATTCTCGTTCCATATCAATGAGACTTGCATTATTTATTTGCACCTTGATGGAATCAATCCTCGAAAAAGCGTAATTTTTTTTTTAAGCTAAAAAAGTGCGAAAATATTTAATTGATAAAAAATGAGACTTTATTAGTTCAAATCACATTGGTTATCCAATATCTTTGCAATATGTACAGCTTCTAAATTTAAAAAAGGGCCCAGAAAATTGATCACATGTACAAAGAGTACAAAGAATTTGAGTATAAATGGGTAACATGTTTTCTTTGAATTCACTACCTTGTAGTTATCACTCATCAATTTAGTTTTATAAAAAAGTTATCAGATTAGTAGTGGACAATAATTACTTAAATTCAATTACAGCCGTCTCGAAAATCAAACAACGATGCCATGTCTCAAAATAAAAACCAGCGTTCCGCACAGCTAACGGTTTATAATCACCATATTTTCTTTGCTGGCCTAAAAAAAATCGCCATACTTTCTTTAATTCTTTAATTAATTAAAAAAGCATAATTATATTATATATACTCATGTAACTTTTTTTCATGGCTTACATGTATCTTATAGGAGAAAACACTGTTTTAAGCATACTCATGTAACTTTTTTTCTTTTTAGTTACTCATGAATATTTTTTTATTATAAATAATTTTATTGAAGATATAATCGGATATTAAGTATAAGTATGTCTCTGTATAAAAGTCTGGTAAATGGTCTATGCCCTTTTTGCTCAAAAACAAAAAATGGTCGATGCTGTTAGTTACGATGGGCCCAAGTGGTTGTCGGCCCATGGCCCAAAGCATTAGAAGACGGATCATCCACATGGCTAATCATGCAGGAAACGAGGGGCAAGAACCAAGTGTTGCATGGTGCCTCCTTACCGTTCCGACGTGGAAGACATTAAACCCCTACACGTTTCAGACTCTCTCCTATTAAACGACGTTTTTTGGGTTTTCGGTTCCTCCCCACGCCCCAGATAGAGAGAGCTCAGAGCAGTTATGGAAACCTCGACGGTGATGGAAACGACGAAGCTTAAGTACCTGTCCTCCATTGCTGAGGACGTCGTCCGAAGATGCTCCCAGTATTACTCTCTCTCTCTCCCTCTCACTTCCCACATTTGCTATGAAAATGGCTACGTAATCATATGGAGACATTTAGAAAATACAGCTTCTTCTTTTATTTTAAATTTATATATATATTCTTTTCCCATTGTTTATGATATACTTCACTATCATCCACCAGAATCACAAAAAAACAGAGCGAAATCAAATAAAGTAATATACGAATACTTGCCTTCTCTTATGGTCGCTATAGAAACTCGATTAAAGCACGAACGTATTTAATTTTTAACAAATTGTGAACGAATAATCTGGATTTTGTCAGGAAACTGGGCACTCCTTTAGAGAAAGTAGTCGGAGAGTTTGAAGCCGGATGGAAAGCTGAACCGGGAAATTATTGCCAGAAATTAGTGGAATTTTGCAGCGAGAGGGCGCTTATTAGTGACATGTGCAACGACATACAGGAAAAGATTAGTGATGGGTCTTTTAGCAGGTTCACATATGACTTGATGCTTGCTTGGGAGAGGCCAAGCTACTACGATGAAGACGAGCACACGGTCCGCGTAACACAATTATTCCTGTGTCTTTCTAAATTGTATCTTTGTGGCAGAGTAAACTTGTATTTATATCTGTGACTGGGACATTTATATGCCTCTGAGATCTGAAAATCTTTTGGGGGACAGGAGGAGTTTATCTTCAATCATATTAATTGCTAGAAACAAGAACTCATATTTTCCAAAGTTCAATCTTGATTTGAAATGACCAAATACACATGCTACAGTTTATTTATTTAATTTACTTTTTGAGGTCTACAGGAGTCTGTTGCAAAGGAGAAAGAAGAGAGGAAGATGCCTCTTAATGTTATCCATGAAGAACGAGATGAAATCCCTCTGTTTTACTCAGACATCATGCCTCTCCTTGTAAGAACTTTGCCCCTCGTTATCTAGGCTTCGAAATCTTTGAGATTTTGCACATTGTTTAATATTTAATGCAGGCTGCAGTATTTTCTTTGCATTTAATAATCACTCCACTTTGACAATCTGGTAAACATAGGATTTTTTTCTAAAAAAAAAATATTGGAGTTATTATTCCTGGTTACTGGCTACTTAATTCATACATTTTGTGTAATGCATTTCATGCATGATTTTTGGCAGGTGAGTAATGAGCCCAACGTTGGAGAAGATGCATTTGTGTGGCTGGCATCTTTGCTTCCATTAATAGCAGATGTTGCAAATGGAAGGTTTACTTTTGAAACTTTAACAGCACCAACAGGCCACCGACTACATTTTCCCGCATACGACTTCTTCTTAAAAGAAATGGACAAGTAATACATCTGATTCCAAATATAATTTTTCTCACGCTTTTTAATGGTTTAAAAGTACATAATGCCAGGAAGCCCCTCCATTCTCAGCAGGGACATGCTATTCTGGAATGCATGATTTTTCTTTTCTTTTCTTTTCTTTTTTAGGGGAATAGGATAGGTTAAAATGAAATTTAGAGAATCATCATCATCTTTAGTGGAGAAAGCAAATTAGGCTTACCTATTCTAAAAAGAATTCATGTGGGATAAGTGCAATTTAGAAACGCTTCGGCGGACCTCCAACTGTTTTATGCCTTAACAAAAATTCATAGTATTGGGAAGTGTTTCAGATTCATATCATCAACTTCCCATCCTTTTTAATTAATGTTTCTACAGGTGCATAAGACATCTGCAAAAGCAAGCAACACCAAATGGCATAGAGATGGCTGATGACGAATTTATATTACACGTGGAGGGAACAGCAAACTCTCAGAGAGTAGTTCGACACATTGGAGCAACAAGTTGGGCAGGTCTGTAATTTGATCAGTCTGACTAGTCAAGTTTATGACATGTTGGAACGTCGCCGGTATTTTTAATTATTCAAGGGTGTAATGCTGCTTTTTTCCACCTCTCTTACTCATTCATTCTTTCTTTCCAGGTAGGCTTACACTGAGCAACTATGCTCTTTACTTTGAGGCCTCAGGAGTGATTAAATATGAAGATGCTCTAAAAATAGACCTTTCTGGGGACACGGAGCACACCCTGAAACCGGCTGCTACAGGGCCCTGGGGAGCTCCGCTTTTTGACAAGGCTATAATCTATGATTCACCTGAGCTGTAAGTAGATCCCTAAACAAAGGCCTTATAAGGATTCTAGCAGTTATTGACTTGTTGCCATTAATCCATCACCATCACGATTTTGGAGTTATTTTGTTCAACGTGTATATAAAAGTTCCACAGAAGAAAAACTATGCATATTGAATATTTGACTTTCATTTACACTATTGAATTTCAGAAAAACCTGTGTGTAATTTTGGTGGAAACTCTTCAGTTTTCTCATTCACTCTCTAATGCTAGACCTCTGTCGTCACAATCTTTTAAATGATCTTGGTTTTAGAAGCACTACAAAGTTGTCGAATTATGCCCCCATTATGTATCAACATGATCTTTAATGATTCTGAAATTTGGAACCTTTGGCTCTCTATATATCGCTTTATAGCTTACTGAGTGTAATTTTTTCTCTCTTATGGCTTCAAGGGTGGGGACATTTTATTTTGATGCAATATTTGTTCCCACCTCTTATATATATATATATGTATGTATAACACGTTCGCATCTCTTTATTGGCGTAGAAAATAATCACACGAGCTGATACGAATTACCAGGTTTTTTTTCTTCTGAATTTTGTAGATCAGAGGGCATTGTCCTGGAGTTTCCAGAAGTGACAAGTTCCACAAGAAGGGATCATTGGCTTGCGCTGACAAAGGAAATTATGTTGCTACATCAATTTTTATCAAAATACAAAATAGAATGCCCCGTACGATCATGGGAGATGCATGCCAGGACAATTCTAGGGATTATAAGGCTCCATGCTGCAAGAGAAATGCTAAGAGTTTCACCTCCTGCTCCAACAAAGTTCTTAATATTTTCTTTATATGATGAGATACCAAAGGGAGATTATGTGCTAGACGAACTTGCTGAGAGCCTCAAGAAGGGTAATAGTGCACACCCATGCAGTGCGAGTTCAATCCTTAGAAGTATGGACATTTCTAGGCCCATCATTTCTGGTGCAGAACTGGAAGTTAAAGAGGCTATACAAGCATGTAAAAGTGTTAACGGTCCAGAAGAAAGTGCCTTCTCGCTGGAGACAGCTATTAAACAAGCTATGGAGGAAGAAAAGGAAACTCTCATTGCTAAAGCCACCACTGAAGAGTTAAAAGAGGAAGGAATCACTGACAGCGTTATGGTTCTTATGGTAAGCATTTAACTCGTGTAAGAAGAATCATATTTTTAACTCAATTCATGATATATATCGCTTGCAAACTGTAGTTGACTGTGTCAGAAAATATGGATCATTATAATTTTGTTTAAAATTATTTTCCCAGGAAAGTTAGGGAGTCGGATTCTCTGTTCACTTCAAATGAGGGCAGGGGTTAAGGTCAACATTAGAGATGACAAGGATTGTAGTTTAAACTCACGTTATGTCGAGCAAGCGTTTTAAGATGCTTTAACCCCTCCTGTTTGCCGATGAGAAATTATAGGCTTTCTAAGGTGGAGATAAAACATGACTTGTGTTTGGAATTGAGACTTAATCATGATTGACTTGGAATTTATTTATAGGAGCTACTAAAGCCACTTCAACGTGTAGTCCCTTGGTTTCAAGATATCTTCACATGGCAAAAACCAATGGTTACTCTTACTGTGCTTGCTGCATCCCTGATATTCACCTATATGTAAGTTCTTTTCTTTCCGTTTTTTCCCTTGTAATCTTTTAGCTTACATATTTGTCATATTGTGTGTGAGACTCTAAAATGTCAAGTGTCGGCCTAGCTAGACGAGAAGCTACTTAACATCACTTATATAACACAGGGAATGGATTGGCAAGGCATTGGCAATTTTTCTGATATGGGTAATAACGAAAATGATGGAGGCAAGACACAAAAGATTGAATGAAAAGTGCGACGAGTTAGTAATTAGTACAGCCTCTGAACAGTCTACGATGGAGAGCATCGTGTCTGCCCAACAGGGATTGAACACTGCTCGTGAGGTGATGCAGATAGCAAATGTAACCATATTAAAGATATGGTCAATATTTATTTCTAAGGCTCATAAGGTATTCCCTGTAACTTGCCACACTCAGCACTTCCATACGGTAATTCAGTTTAATTATGGGTTTAAAATTTCATTGCGAGGGAATGCTTTCTGTTATTGATGGTGATAATTGTTGTTACTGGGGCAGCATTCAAATACAGTGATGGTGGCATTGGCGGGTTTGGCAATATTACTGGCAATAGTTCCGTTGAAGCTGGTGATTATGGGAATTATATTGCAAAGCTTCATAGCATCAAAAGGAGGCAAGCCTTCGGGAACAGGGAACAGACGACTCAAGGAATGGTGGGATTCAATTCCAGTCATCCCTGTTCGCCTTGTAGACGCCAAGAATCCTGACACTGCTAATTATTAGCTGTTTGTGAGATTGCCCTATATCCAGCATATCATGTAAAGTGTACCTAACGGAAGACATTGAAGAATTCATGTAAAAATTCACGTTTCTACTGTCCCATAAAATGTTAGATATATTTTGGAATGATTGAAGATTAAAGGCTTCCGATGCAAGATGTGTAACGTGTGAAACTTATTAGGGCAGAGCGAGCCGCATATACAGCAGAAGCAGCAATAAGAGAGGGGCAATACAATATCACGGCCGCATGGTGAACAAGGCTAAATTCAGCTAAGAAATACACTGTGTTCTCCACGTCCTTACCAGAGGGAGAAGAGACTTTGATATACCGAACAAGGAAGACGTATGGTGTAGCAACAGTCAAATACCGTTCTAGCTTCCTCACTGTTATCTCCATCATCAGAACCTGTTCACTTTGATAGGCATTCTCTGCTGTGAAAAAGTTTTACATTTATTGTCGTGTTATATATGTTTTGTCCAATAAAAATATATAAATGTATAATTATTTTTAATAATTTTATTTTAAGAATAAAGTGTCCTTTTTATCTTATTTTTTTGCATTTTTTTATCATTATTTGTAATAGAATTAATTCATATTTATTTTTAATAATATGATAAAAGTTATTTTTATTGACCGAGCGCGTCAACTTGATGCATACCAGTATTTATCCTGCATGCACACAAAGCTGATGTCCAAGAACATAAAATTCCACAACTCCTTCCTCTTCCTTTCTCTTTGATGATCCTTTCCCTTGTGAGGTAAAAATAGTGAAAAGAAATTAAAATTATACATAAATGTGAGAATATATTAGATTAATTTGAGAATTTATTTATATTATGTTAGATTAATTTGAGAGTTGATTTATATTTTAAAATTCAATAAATTAACGTGATAATTTAAACCATTAAATCGATAATAGAGAAATTTGAAAAATTAAGTTTTATTACCTATCCCACATATGAAATGGAAACCCAAATCGGATCAGTCGGGTTGACCAATTAATCGGCCTCTCCATCGGTCCAGGTTTTTAGTTAATCCAGTCTAACAATAACCCCCTCGGTAACCCAACAAGTTGCTAGGTCATTTTTTTTTTTGGTAAAGTAGCAAAAATACTTAAAAAGTAATCAGCCACGGATATCCATTATCTTAAAGTGATGAAAATGGCAAAAATACCCATAACGTTACATGGATGGTTACAAAAGTAACTAGACTTTTAACTTTAACATAATACTGTTAACTTTGATCGTTAAATGCTGACTATATATGTCACATGTCAGTCTTTGCTAACGTAGATTAAAAAAGGCAAAAATATCCATAAAATCATAGGCCAGGAGAAAAAATACCCATACTGTTATCAAAGTTAATGCAAAAGTGATCAATTCATCCAATTCTTCAATGACACTTAAACAAGAATTAACTATTTTTTCACTGATGTTGATAAAAAATATTTTTAGATGAAATTCTCTGAAAGTTAATCGATTGTTGTATGAACATCATGTGAGAAAATGTCATTTTGACTGAATATCAAATTAAATTGCTTGTTTCTTTGCAACTATAACACACCAATTTTTTTTAAATAATTTAACTCAACCATAGTTGGGTTACAGCCACCCAACATATTTTTTTATATCAATAATTTTAATATAAAATATTTTATAATTGGCTTCAACTCACACAATATAATATTTTAGATAAATTTTTACCTCCCACATGCCATTAGGCTAAATCACATTTATCCATCCTTATACTTTCAACAAGTAAACTAAATCACATTTGTCCATCCTTATACTTCTAACAAGTAAAATAAATAATTTAGTCAATTTTCAAAACAAGCCAGTTATTTGGCCTCATAATCATGCCATTTTAACAAATCCAAAGTAAATCAAATATTAAAATTACAGTCATCCAAAGTGTACCAAAAATATAAATAATTTGAAAGGCATAATTACATTTATATATTCATATAATTGTCAATAAACAAAAAGCTCTAATATTGGCAATATAAAATATTATAAATCATAAATCAAATATCCAAAAGAGACAGTGGATCTATGCCACTAAGCCTCTGGGACTCCTCTACGGGTCTGTTTGGTTCGAGGGGAGGGAAGGGGAGGGGAGGGGAGGTGAGGGAAGAGGAGGGAAGGGAAAGGAAGGGGAGGAGGAGGAGGAGGGGGAAGGGAGGGGAGGGGAGCTCCCCCCTAATTTGGAGGGGAGGCTTTGGAGGGGAGGGGAGGGAAAATTTTAAAAATTTCCCCTCCCCTCCCCCCGAACCAAACGAAGCCGTAACGTGTCACTCGTGGCTCTTCTCTTGAAAATTGTTAACCACATAATGAGACTTAAAAGTCCCAGTAACCAATACCAATTTATGATAGTATATATCAACAGTTAAGTGTGTACTTATTAAGTGAGAATTAAAAATAATATAATTCCAACAAATATAAGAAATATTACAATACACACAAACAACCATCCTTATATCCCTCCATTAACCTTGAGCCGTAGCCCTCACTCGGTGCTAAATTACCCGGCCAAAGATAGATTAGCACGAGCCTTTATAAGCCACCTATTGAGCTCCAATAGGGACGTACCACGCGGCACAAAAATACAACAATAGCAAGTCTCCTAACACCTCCCACAATAACCAAACAAATTCATAATAATATTGCACAATATACAATATTAAAAAATTCATAATTTTCTCAATAATCACCCAATTAACATGAAGTAACACTAATCACAAATTAAAAGCATGGTTACCTCGTGGCTTTTTCAATAAATTATTCCTTACAATTTCTCTCCCACCACAATCTTCACCAATAACACAATCTACAAATAACATATTATTTGTAAATATTAGTTTCAATTATTGAAACTAATAAAATAATTCTAATAATAGAATTAAAAAATATAATGTAATTTTTAATCTCAATCTTAATACAAATTTAGAGTTAATACTATTAAGTAAAATTTTTAACTCCTCTTTTACTCATCAATAAACATTAATAATCTAAAAATCAAATTTTAAACTAATTTCTATTATCAACATTTTCTTTTTTATTTTAAAAATTTGCACCTAAAATATTTAAAAATTAAAAATTGAGTCTCTAGCTTAGAATTATAATCCTATAGCCATAATAATTCATTTCTCATCCCAAATAATCATCTAAACCTCAATAAATCAACATATATTTTTAAATCTAGTTTAGAATTTGATCCATAAGCCACAAATTCAAAGATCATCAATAAATTTATACTCTAGAACATTTATTATACTACTAACAACCTCAAAAATTATATTTATTCAACATAAATTCATCCCTCTTTCAAATCCTAAATTTTCTACCACCATAAAATCAGAAACCAAAGAAAGATGACTAAAAAAATTTTTTAGAACACTTATTTAGTCTTAAAAAGTTTAAAATCACACCCTAAATATCTTATTAAAAACTCTTACCTTAAAAACTCAGATCTCCCGCATCGGCGAAACTAGACGCTCTCTCGACCTCAGCTCGCGCACAGAGAAGAATGAAGAAAAGAAGGAAATAGGTGAGTTTTTATAAAAATTCAGTGGGTCCCACATTTTTTTATTATTTCTTCTTTCCTCTCTCTTCTTTCTTTTTTTATTGTTTTATATGTAATCATTACGCGGCCACCGAAAGCAAACTTGTTCTTCTTATTCTTCCCTTTTTTTAATACCTTTTCTTTTTTTAATTATAGTAATAATTTAATAATATTTTTTATTATTTTTTTAATTAATTTTTTTAATTTTAATTTAGAATTATATCCTAAGTTAGATTTAATAATCATCTCCTACTAATTTGCTTACCTCTAAATTTTTTTTAAAATTTTTATTAACCCAAATTAACTATTAAAATTTAAATTGGGATGTTACAGCAACAGTGACAAAAATTATTTAAAAATTTTGAATCTATCGTGAATGTAATTGCTTAAGGTTGTGACAATATTCTTAAACTAGATGTGCTCAATCTCAATCTTCGATTTTGAACAACCTATCTCACTATGTTAAATTTCAAGTTTTGCAAACAAGAAAAATAAGTCGAGAGGGAGAAAGGAAGGGGGCAAGATACATTGTGATAGAAATAAACCATATGACATTAATTTTGACAAAATTGATCACTATTGCACCTATTAAAGTAACATTATAGGTACTTATACAATGATCGATCAACATCCGCAAAAATTCATCTTAAAATATTTTGTCTACATTAGTGAAAAAATAATCAATTTCTATTTAGGTGTCAACTAAACGGTCAACATTTAAGTAATTAGATGTATTGGTCACTTATGCACCAACTCTAATAATGTTATGAATATTTTTGCTCTTGACCAACGACTTTGTGAATATTTTTACCCCTTTTTAGTCTACATCAGTAAAGATTAACACGTGGCATGTACAGTTAGCATTTAACAATCAAAATTAATGGCGTTAAGTCAAAGTTAATAGTCTAATTACTTTTACACTCATTCATGTAACGTTATGGGTATTTTTACCCTTTTCGTCACTTTAAGATATTGGGTGCCCGTGAATATTTTTACCCCTTTTTAGTCTACGTCAGTAAAGATTAACACGTGGCATGTACAGTTAGCATTTAACAATCAAAATTAATGGCATTAAGTCAAAGTTAACAATCTAATTACTTTGTGGATATTTTTTCTCATTTATCCCCTTTTTTTGCCAAAACTCTCCAAAAAAGCTAATTTTTTTTTAAACTTAAAAAATTTGGGGGATTTTAATTTTTTTTAACTTAACTCTAAAATTAAAAAAACTAAAAAAATAATTCAAAAAATGAATTCAGTCTTTGAATCTTGGCCTTTGAAGAATAGAGGGTCCTCTGAGTCCTAAATCCCTAGTGGATGAAACTATGAATGCTTTATCAATTCTTTAGACGAATTATGAAGGATTAAATCTACTATCAAGTTTCTAATACAAGTATATAACATTATAATACCATCAATTTTTTTACATATTCATTAGTATTAATTATTGTTTGTTGTAGGTGATGAATATATGAATGTTTCAAAGCCTCATCTTTGCTTGATATTATTGCTAATGGTTCTAATTTTTCTCATTCAACTCCTAATGTCTTAGTGCCTAGAGATTTAAATAAAGTTAATAATTATCTTAGTGTTGGTGATTATTAATTTTAAAATTTTTATTTATTGAAGGGTTGTAATTGTAAAAAAAAATATTTAAAATGTTGTATTTTATTATTATTCAACTTTTGAGTGGTTATATTTTTATAATTATTATTATATTTGTACCTAATATTAGAGATTGATCTTAAATTTAGTTAAATACTTTTATAATTGATGTATTTTTATTTAATTGTATTATTTTAATCATAACCGAATTGTCTTCCAAATTTACCCCTAATTAAACTACTAACTCATAACTTATTGACTTAATCATTTCAATGATCGATTCAGTAGCTTAATCCCACAAACACAAGACATGCATTGCTTAGTCTGCAGTATTTATGAATCTTTTTCTTCTCTCCTTTCTTTCTTTCTTTGTTTTTTTTAAAGAAAAATACCGCATACAAATCCTGATTTTTTTCTTGGGTAAAAGAAACAAACCCTGAATTTTGACACACGCACTTTCGGCCTAGCTACACGTGTTATAACACGAATCTCGGAATTCAAGGCATATCTGATCTCTCTCAATGTCAATGGGCGCACCGGAAAAAGACCTAAAACATTCGGGCCTGCAAGAAAGCAAAATACAACTTTGCGTCTCTATTTTTCTCTTAAAAAAAAAAAAAAGAAGTGTAAAGAATATATGATTTTGGGAGGGGGAAAAAACACTCGCACATTAGCATACTTTCCTCCTCAGATCTAACATAAAATGGCCTTGTAATCAGGATTTTTTACCGTAGGATTAAGATTATTTTTTCTATATTGGCCTTCGTGTCTCATAAATTAGAAAATGGATTAACCAGGACATGTGTCGCCTATTGTGACTCCCAAAATATGGGGCCATAATTCAGCTCCTAGAAGCTCAACTCTGGTCTCTGGAATAGAAGAAATCTTGTTTTCTTTCTCTTTTTTTAATGCATCAATGACACCAGCGGAAAAAGGAACCAAAAAGGTCAAAAGTCTAGGACAGATCACAACGAAGTAAATTGTTGAAATGATTAGGAGACTCACATGAGCATATAATCCGCAAAATAAAAGAAATCATGACCAGATGCCAGAATTGTACCAAGCCCTCGCACACCAACGATGTCTAACCACCTACCAGATTCTATGTACAAGATAAAATCTATCACAGTGGATACCTACCGAGTAGGCTACCGTAGTGTGTCCAATCTAAGCAGCAATTCCATAATACCCATCTCCCAAAAGCTTCTTTCCCCCATGATACCCGAGTCCAATCTAAGGTAGCAATTCCATAAAATCTATCACAGGGGTTCCTATCCTCTTGCCTTTTCCAAATCAGGGAGATCTGCAAATAATAATAATGTATGTCAGGTTTAAGGGAGGATGAATGAGTGCTGCAGACCTCAATTCCAATTGTATGAATAAGAAAATGGGAGACGCCTATGCTAACACAATATAATTCAGCAGATTGCTCGTGTTCGCATGATAAGTTAGTGCCAAAAATAGGAACCACCAACAGATCTTACAGTTCTATAGTATGCGTTTTTTGACATAATAAGAAAAAAATTTGTGTGACAAATATGCTTCCACTAAACAATGTAAAACAAATTCTAAACCAGGGAAACAAGAGGGTCACTCACACAACATCCCTTCCTCGTCACTGCTCCCATCATCTTGTCCCACAAACTGTAAAGAAAAATGCGTTTGACAATATTAGAAACCAGAAAGTGAGTCAAAGTGAAAAGTTTTAAATTATGTGTGACGAGTAGAAGGAATCAACTCACCCGTGCATCATCATCAGATTCCTCGTCAGCTGCATAAATCCACACAAAGCTCAATCAGAGCACTAAAATTAAAATACTCCCAAAGAGAAGTCATTCTAGTATTTTTTGTTGTCAACTCCCAGATAAGAATTTCAGAACATGGTAGTGCAACCTTCATGAAATTGAAGATAATTTACAAGGGTAAGGATCCTGATAATCTAATTTTAGAGATCTATCAAGCCAAGGATGGCCTAATAATCGATAATGCACAAAATCAGCATTTGAGCAAACAGTTTCCAGTTCTTGTAATAATTTCTAATCTCATAAACCATTAACATAGACTCAATTACAGTCACAGACCATTTTCTTCAGTCACATACCATTTTTTTCAAAAGTTAAATTCAACAAGAGAGTTAAGTCAGTTAACTACAGTTTAATGCAAACCCATAGGGTTTGGGGCCTCAAACAAGCTCAATAATTGCAAATGAAAAACAGCAAACAATCTCTTCCCCAGTAGATGCATTTGCGGAAACCTACTTCCATGCTGCCAGAACCATTCCATATACACAGTCTTTTCATTAGCAAAAGAGAGACAAAAGATGCATAGTTATCCCTTTCCAAAGCAATGTGTAACTGTAAATTACCAAGCAGAAGAACGACGGATAGTATGTGTAAGATGGCCCATAATCTTAAAGCACTCCAATTTGAAGTTACTAAGCCAGTTACACGATAGATTAAGTTGCAGGTGGTCAATAATTCTGGTTATCCACCTGAGAGTAGTGCAACTGGCATTACTCGCTAAGCATGTATGACCTGTATAGATTTAGTGGCTCGTACTCAATATTTCTTGTTTTCCACCTTAAAGCTGCACAACTAGCATAACTCACTATATATACATAAATTACTCATTGTATATGTATGGATTGTCGAGTTCACGTCCATGAAAATTTTTGGAGATGCTCATCAATAAAAATCAGGCATCAAAGAATAGTTAAAAAAACTTACAAGCTGATTCTTCATCATCTTCGTCGCACCATCTGTTCCAATCAACCTTCAGGTATGGTGCAGGTTTCTCTTCAGACTTTAGCAGCCTTTTCCACCATCCTTTCTGTTCCTTTTGAATTGAGCACAGTATGTTTCTCAAGCCAGATTTAGTTTTACAACCCTATACAACAGTTAAAAATTTAAAGACACAACCTTTCAACCTTAAAAAAAATTGGCATGGTAAACGAAATTTTAAAAAACAGGACAGAACAACAGAGTATTTACTTGTGAGAGCAATGAAGACTTGATAGTAAATAGGTATAGCAACGGTTATTAGAGCTATGGACATTACACACTACAGAAAGATAAGGTGACAGCAACAAGAGCAACAACCCCATAAGGCAGAGAACTAACTTATGGAGAGAGGAAAATGAGAGGTGGCAAATCGGCAAGGGCTTGTTCGTGCCTCATAGTGTCAGTAAGAATTAGGTTAACTTGTGCTGATTTAGTGAACAGTTGTGTTATTCACTCAGAGGTTGTGTAATGGAACAGGGATAAGATCAGGAAGAATCACCCTTGGCCTAGGAACCCCAACATGAACAAAGTTTCCGGATTGAAAGAGTAGAAAAATATCCAAAAGTTGAAAATGAAAAAGGAGGAGAGCTGCAGTTACATCGATCCAAGGGTGAAAGTGTCTGTAACGCCAAATGAATGGAAAAAGAAAATCCATATGGAGGTCTCAAATAGTTGTGATTAGTAATGCATGTAGCCAACTCCAAACCTCGAGATTCTAATCTAGTTATCGGTGTTGCAGTAGTTATCATCACGTAACCATAAAAAAGGAGTCCACGTGAAAAACGCACAGAATTACACGCGGTATACTAATGCATCCAGTAATTTTTTTTTTCTTTTTTGCAGATGTGTAGCCAGTGATTAATACTAGAGTGCAAGTTAACAGCTCACCTCAGCTACGATTGGTCCATAAAGTTCTAAGCTGAATTTGTAGGATTCACCTTGAACTCCATTAGCAGAGAAGCTAAATAAACCCTGAGGCTCACACTTAACGGAAACATCATTGGCATCAGGTAGAGCAACAGTAAGATAAACCTTATCAGAACGCTGAGCCCAGAGAACTTCAGGTTGACGACTGCTTACACAGGAGGAAAAAAATTATCAAACGCCGAACTTGAAAAAAATAAATAAATAAATAAAAAGGGCTCATAACACTCAATCCTTTTACAAACAAGTGGGGCTGTAAAATGTGATTCTACAAGAAAAGGAGAAAAGGAGTCTTGATTTGATCGGGCAGGAAGAATGAGCCAAGATTTGCTGCATTTCAGCCCAAATGAGTTTCGGCAAACAGGATACTCATGAACCCTCGAATGCCCGTCAAGAAATTTCACAAATACTCCCACCCCCGCCCCCCCAAAAGGGGGGGGCTAGAAAAGCTTTAAGCCGGGGCTGGTGCACAGTCCGAAGCAAAGCAAAACTCCGTTGAGAAAGGATATAGACGAAAATAGTGTAAAAGAAGCAATACCTCATTAGGTAGTGGATTGGGAAAGAACAACGGCGAGAGAATCCAGAGACGATGAGCCAAGCGAAGAGTATAGGAAGGAGATCCACTGAAAGTGAAAGCCACCTCCGCCGAGCAACATTTTGGATGCTTTCTTTTGGAGCATGGAAGGATTTGACGAATAATACGATAAAATAAAATAAAATGAAAAGAGACAGGGGAACATCAACAAATATAGTGTCATACTATCATGCGTTGAGTTTTTTTTTTTTTTTTCCCCAAGTTCCATGAGAGAATTTGTTTATAGGATTAGGCATGGGACTTGATTTCAACTCAGTCCCCAATCAATTTTGAAATTACACTCCATAATCAAAAGATTAAATTAAAATTATGTTTTATATGAAAAATAATCAAAATGCCATTCAAATAATTTTTTTTAAAAAAATCAATCAATGGTTGCCTTTCTCCCTTTCTCTATTTCCTATAATTTCTTATTCTTTACTGCTACCGTAGAAGCCATGTGGGTTTCATGACCATCGACACATTTTAGCGGCCAAAATTCAGGGTTGTCATTGTCTCGGTCCATGGAGCTTAAAGAGCTTGCACCAACTTTGCTACCTTTGGAGAAATGTCGTGAACTTGTTGCAATTTCTTGTCATGAATTTAACTCCAACCTTGCAAAGCCCTTTCCAGTGTCCCATAACTTTGCTCGAATTCAAACTAGAGAAGTTATGGCACTTCAGCCAAGTTCTTATGTTGTGGATATAGATGATAACATCAAAATTATGGTCAAATTCTTACCAGAGACCTTGTTGGGTTTGAGGGTCGGGGAACTACAAGAAGTGAGCGGTGTCAAGTGGATGGCGACAATTCTCAAAGACTGAGAGTATAAAGGGGTGGTTGGCAATGGAAGAAACTTTGATCCTGCGTAACATGTGTTGTATGTGTGTTAAAGTACCACATTGATTAAAAGAAAGACTCTCTTGATGTATATATACTAAGAAATGAAGTGGGCTAGTAAAATGGGCTTAGTGAAGAAGTGGCCTCGCGCACATAAAACAGGCCAACTCAGGGCAATCGCAGTTGAAATCAGTCGATTCGCCCCCCTGCGAGCGAGTTCAAGAGGTAATGGGTTCCTTTTACTGGATTATTTTTACAAAATAAATAATTATTTTTGGCTTGCCGGAGAAACTCAATTTTTGGCTATCTAAAGTTTAAAATCAAACCAAGAACGTTTTTTGATCATTAACCAAATGAATTTTCTAAACGTTTTATTTTCCCAACGTTTCCAGACAAGAGGTTAAATGCATTTTACGTTTGCACAATCCCAATGTTTCCAGACAAGTATTTAAACGATTTTTATGACAGTGTAACCAAGCCTTTAATCCGGTGGTAACCCCCCAACGTTCATGTCTCCACCTTCAGGCTATATATAGCCATGGGTGCTGATAGAGCGAAATAAGCCTCTTGAGTTTTCGGGGTTCTCTCCTCCCTCTGTCTATAAGTTTTTGTTTACTTTGAGTCTCTATTGTTCTATTCCCTCGTTCTGCTGAGGAAGTGCTTGTTTAATCTTGGGGAACTGTCGGTCATCGGAAGGCGTGCCGGAATAGTCCTTAAGGACAGTGTCCTTTCGGGCACAACTCAAGTAATTCGTACTCATCGTTTGCATTTCTGCCGATGTCGCCAACAATTTTAAGAACTATTCAGCCCAATGGCGACGAATAGTACTGAAAATGTCACTCCTGAAGGTGTGCACAGTGGTTCAGTTGAAGGTTAGTATGTCCCTGCCACTGTTGTCGTTCCCCTACCGAGGTCGTTCCTAGACATATCGAAGATAAAAGTCTTTGACGACCGAAACTTCAAACGCTAGTAGGAATGAGTCTTCACTGTTCTTGACATGCATGGTGTGGCTGCTGCTCTTGCTCAATCCGAGCCTCCTGCTGATACTGATCAAGCCCAGAGAGTTACATGGACTCATGCAAACAAGGTATGCTGACACACTATCATTAGCACTTTATCTAATGATTTGTTCGATGTCTACTGTGTCTATAAGGAAGCTTGTAAGATATGGGAGTCCTTGGTGACAAAGTACATTGCTGAGGATGCCGGCAAACAAAAGTTCGTTGCGGGCAACTACTACAAATAGGAGATGACCAAGAACAAGGATGTAAAGGAGCAAATCAACAAATATCATAAGCTGCTGGAGGAGCTTTGTGCTAAAAACATCAACCTTTCAGACAAGTTCGTTGCTGGGATGCTAATTGAGAAGCTGCCAGAATCATAGTCTGACTACAAACAGCAACTGAAACACAAACAGAAGCAGCTATCCTTGACTGATTTGATCACTCACATCATCATTGAAGACACCAACCGTAATACAATATGTGCAGCTCGAACCAGAGAAATGATATCCAAAGCCAACCCGGTGGAGATAAAGCCTTACAACAAGAGGTGTGATTCTAAAACTAAAGACAAGAAAAATAGAAAATCTGATTACAAACCCAATGCTTCTAACCCCTCTTTCAAAAAGAAAGGAGACTGTTTTGCCTGTGGTAAACCAGAACACTATGCAGCACAGTGTAGGAAGAGAGCAAATCGTGATAAGCCTCGAAAGCCAAATGTAAATTTAGTACAACGAGATGGTGACAGTGATGATGACATCATTGCTACAGTGGTGTCACAAGCTCTCTTGATTTTTGATGTGAAGAAATAGGTGGGAGACTCCAGGGCTACCAGGCACATATATGCTAGCCAAGAGATGTTTACCGCCTATAATCTTGTAAAGGAAGGGGAAGACCATGTTTACCTTGCTGATTCCCGAACTGCTAAAGTTTAAGGAAAAGGAAAAGTGGTCTTAAAGCTCACATTAGGAAAGACTCTAGCTCTAAACGATGTTCTGCATGTGCCTGAAGTTAGAGCTAACTTAGTGCCAGTTGCTTTTTTAGGGAAAGCTGGGGTTAAAGTGTCATTTGAATCTGACAAGATTGTAATGACAAAAAATAATGTGTTTGTAGGCAAAGGGTATTGTAATCAGGGACTGTTTGTTTTAAATGTTGATGAAATGAATAAGACTGAATCTTCTGAATATATGCCTATTTATATGGTTGATTCATTTGATTTGTGGCATGTTAGACTAGGTCACGCTAGTAAAGGTTATATAAATAGGATGCAACAACTTGGACTACTTTCTGAAATTAAAAACAATGATTTTGGAAAATGTGAAGTATGTGCAGAAACTAAACAAAGTAAAAAATCTCACTTTTCTAGTCAAAGAGAATCTGAATTACTATCTTTAATTTATACAGATTTAGGTGATTTAAAACAAATCATGACTAGAGGTGGTAAAAAATATTATATCACTTTTATTGATAATTTTTCAAGATATACTAAAGTATACTTGTTAAGAAATAAAGATGAGGCTTTTGAAAAATTTCTTTTATATAAAGCAAAGGTTGAGAATCAGTTAAACAAAAGAATTAAAAGGGTTAGATCAAATAGAGGTGGAGAATATATTTTGTTAAATGATTTTTGTGAAAAAGAAGGAATTATACATGAGATAACACCTCCTTATTCTCCCGAGTCTAATGGTGTTGCAGAAAGAAAAAATAGAATATTAAAAGAAACAATGAATTCTTTGCTTGTGAGTTCTTCTGCACCTAATAACTTGTGAGATGAAGCTATTTTGTCTACATGTTTTTTATAAAATAGGATACCTCATAAGAAAACAAAGAAAACATCTTATGAGTTATGGAAAGGGTTTACCCCAAACTTAAAATATTTGAAAGTGTGGGGGTGTCTTGCAAAATTTTTATTGCCTGATCCTAAAAAGAAAAAAATTGGCTCTAAAACTTCTAATTGTATGTTTATTAGGTATGCTGAACAAAGTGCAGTGTATCATTTTTTAGTTTTAAAAAGTGATGTTTTAGACCAAAACACAATTATAGAGACTAAGTATGCTAAATTTTTTGAACACATTTTCCCTTGAAAATTAAGCATGTTTCTAAACCTGTTGAGAATTCAGAGTTTGAACAAAATTTAAATGAGGATTTGGTTTTAAGAAGAAGTAAAAGGCAAAGGAAAGAAACAAGTTTTGGAGATGATTTTTACACTTATTTAGTACAAGATGAACCGTAAAATTTCTATGAAGCTATTTTTTCTTCTGATGCCAAATTTTAGAAAGAAGTAATATAAATTGAAATTGATTCTTTAAGGAAAAATAAAACTTGGGTTTTATCAGATTTTCCCCAAGGAGCTAAGGCTATTAGGTGTAAATAGATTTTTAAGAACAAATATTTTTCAGACAGTTCAATTGATAAGTATAAAGTAAGGCTTGTGGCTAAGGGTTTTACTCAAAAAAAAAATATAAATTATTTAGACACATTTTCTCCTGTGACTGGAATCTCTTCTATAAGAGTTCTTATTGTTTTGGCTTCAATTTACAAACTTTTTGTTCACCAAATGGATGTTAAAACTGCTTTTTTAAATGATGATTTGGAAGAAGAAATTTACATGTTATAGCTTGAGGGATGTGTGATTCCTGGGCAAGAAAATAAAGTTTGTAAACTTGTAAAGTCTTTGTATGGCTTAAAACAAGCGCCTAAGCAATGGCATGAGAAACTTGATCAAGTTTTGACAACTAGTGAATTTTCTACTGTTGAAGTAGAAAGGTGTGTTTATACAAAGCTTGTGAATAATGATGGTATGATTATATGCTTATATGTTGATGATATACTAATTTTTTGCTCTAGTATGTGTGTTGTTAATGAAATAAAAAATTTTCTTTCTTCAAATTTTGACATGAAAGATATGGGTGAAGTCAAGGTAATCTTGGGTGTAAAAATCATAAGGAATGAAAATGGAATCTTGCTTTCCCAAGAACATTATGTTGAGAAAATTCTTAGAAAGTTTGAACATCTTAAAGATGCTCCTCTGAGTACTCCTTATGATTCGAGTGTGCAATTAAAAAAGCACAAGGGTGACCCAGTTGCTCAATCTAAGTATGCACAAATTATTGAGAATCTGTTGCATTTGATGAACTTTACAAGGCCTGATATAGCTTATGTTGTAGGCAGATTGAGTAGATATACCCACTGTCCAGGCAATAAATATTGGAAAGCTCTGGTGAGAGTCTTGAGATATTTAAGAGGTACCATGAATTATAGTATATTGTATA